AACGTGTGATGATGCAAATGTGGAATACTTGTGCTTATATACATTATAATGTAAATAGAAGAATACGTTCAATCCGTATTTAACGAATACTCGTGAAGAAGGGTCTTATTGTAGGTCTTAAGTCATAGGTTAAGACGAAATCGATGCGTGGAGTAAGATACATATTAAAGTGAAGACAAATAATTAAATTCACATTTTTTGTTTAATAGTCGAATTTACATTCTTACACATGTGACTCATGTAGCCACATGCAATGTATTTATATATCAGATTTATTGAGAAGAAAAATCCAGAATGATGCGATGTTTATCGATGATGAACATTAACCGGATCAGTGTTCATTGTAGTAGTACACAATTGCTTCCATCAATATATAATAATTTCTCTTCATTTCTTCGTGTACATTATAAATATTCGTGTACATTATAATATTTTCTGTTAGTTATAAGTATGTCACTGTCGCGATATTAATAATAACAATGATATAACGATATTATATTCGAATAATAAAAGCTATAATTATTTTTAATAAAAAAACATGTCACACAAAACACACACACACACACACACACAAATCCAGAGCTTCTTTTGTCTTTCTCTAATAAATACATATCAACACATATCGATTTCTCTACAGAGAAAAATAGATGTGATTTATTTTCCATTTTATCCTTCTTTTTTTTTGGGCGAAATTTTTCTTTATGAATTCGATAGGAAGGTTTAGAAAGAAAAAGAGATAATTAAATAATTAGATAATTAAATAATTGACCTGATAAACAAATCATGCTTTGATGAATGTATTACATCAAATGAAATTTAATGTTATTTTGTAACATAATTATGAAATCAAGTAAATGATAACAAAACATCCGAAAATAATATTTAATGCATAAAATTAAAATTGGCACTATTAGAATTTAAAATATTTAAATAATAAAACATTTGCTTAATCTAAATATATAACTAAAATTATGATAATGAAACGACTTTAGACGTGTTGGCAAATTTTAATTTGTTAAGAATAGCGAGAGGATCAAAAAAATTTCTCTCTTACATTGTTTTCTGATTTTTCTGTGATCGTATATAGAATAAAAATGTTATTGTGCAAGTGTTATTTTGTTGAGTTAAAAATAAAGCTCCTCGAACGAATGATTTCAAAAAGAAGAAAAAAATACGTTCCTTTTTCTCTAAAGATTCTAATGTAAATACAAAAGAAAGAAAGAAGATCTGTGATTCATATGATCTCTCGAAAGATATTGATAACGTAAATATATTTTTGAAGGATTTTTGGAAGGCATAAGTACGCGACATTGTAAAATCCAACATAAAAATCTGAAGCCGGAATCAACTGATTGTTATTTCGAGTAATAATCTACTAAGCATTTCAAGAAGCTCACAAAAGAATTTATCGCGCGAAAGAAAGAGGGAAAATACGCAGGCTTTTCAGTGTTTACATACTAGAGAAAGTACGTTGTTTCATTGTCGGATTCCCCCTGACAATATAAACGAAATAATAATGATATTGACGTTGTAAGAAATGTCGCTCTTTGCGAAGTATACTCGATATTTAAAATTACGGAAGTATGGAAGGTACGCGCGTATCGACGATGCTTTTGGCTCTGTTCGAGGTCTATGGGTTTTTCCCATCTCGCATTTGTAGTTTACCGCTAAAGGCATCGTTGGTATGGTCATGCACCGTGTCGGAGAGATAAACGCGCAGACTAGCAGACACTGTTAGACCTATATAAGTAGCGTACGTACTTGTATAAAAATACGTACTTGATTGCAACAAGCGGTTCCAAAATTTTCAGATAGCTAGCTATAATGTCATTCAACATTTTGACATCAAAATAACATTTATAAGATAATATTTGCGAAAATATTATTGATATATCATATAATATTGGTATAATATTGGCATAATAATGAAAATTGAGTCTTCCTTTTTCCCGATGACTTTTTCCTCAGTGAGCTCACTATCACGAATAGATGATAGTGTTAAAATATTGTATTGCAGATAAGTACAAAAATTGACTACAATATTATTAATATTTTCTTTTAATCAGTATCAGTTTATTGAAAATATTGTGATTCATATCTATTAATTTCATATTGATTTTATAGTACATATTATATCTGTATTTGAAAATCAACTACAACTGTACCTCTATATCTGATTTAAAAGATTCCATCGATATATATTATAATAATTTTTAAGTTGCAAGCAGTTATTGAATATTAATGTACAATATTTCTGATATATTAAATGATTCCAATCTTATAACTTATTAATTATATATATTATCGTTTTATAATATATTATTATATTATGTTCCCTCCTTTCATTGCAAATATATCTTAATACGTATCTATATTGCATTTACATTGCATTTCATTTCAAATATAATGTATTAAATACGTAATTAACGCAATGGAAATATCCAAGTCGAAATACGTACTTAATACATATGTAACATGTAGCAGATATATTGTATATGCATATTCAAGTCAAAATACGTATGTAATATATAATGAGTATATTGTGCATATTCAAGTCGCAATATGTATATGATACGTATGTAATATATAACACGTATATTGTGCATATTTAAATGTACGGATATCAAATATGTAGTTCATACATATATAGTAAAATATAATAATACATCATAAGATGCCATATCGTCTCACACAAAACTTCCTAATACATCCTATCCTAGTACATCATACAGATGTATATCGAGGAATTTTCAAACATCCAGAGTACGAGAGTAAAAAAACTTAAGAGGTATTCAGGATAAATTGAGGATATTTATATATCCACTTATTCTATATCCATAGGACATCATCGTTTAGATATCATTAAGATGTTTCTAGATAACCAAATTTCATCCTGTCTTTATTCAGTGGACGTCTTAAAATATTTTTTAGGATATTATATATAAACTCTTGTAGAAAAATATTAGAAAAATTTCCCATTAGATGGCATTAAAAAAACGCTACGAACTTTTTCCCACACCTAATACTACTAAACACTACTGCCACAGTATAATTACATACAATATGGACACTGAGCATCGGTACCTTTGATATAGTAGGTCCCAAGTCACATGACTCGTCGCTATGTTGTGGGTTGGAAAGATGCTTATAAATTTGAATTTTTATAAAACTACAGAATGATTTTTCTAAAAAAAAAAAAGACATATAATTCGGTCGTGTCATGAAAATTGTTTATAGCGAGTATATTTTTAAATCAGAATAATATATAATAATATAATGTTAACGAACTATTATATAAAAACTATTATATAAAA